CAACCTGGGCCGCGAGCTCTATTTCTACCCGGGCTGCTGCCGCCGCGGGAGCCAACGGGTGAGCGGCCTGCGTCCCGGGCGGGTGGGGGTCCCTAGGGGACCCAGAAGTGGTAGGGGCCGGAGATCGGCATCTGGGTGTGATGGACATCCCTGGGGGAAAGGGTTCTGGGGGTGATGCATCATCCTAAAAGGCGCCCGGTGCCGGGCAGCCTGGAGGGGATGGGAAGCCTTGGGGTCCTGTGGGATCCCCGTTATGGGGGCGGGGGGAGGTTCTGGGATGGTGAGTATGTTGGAGGTGATGGAGAATCCGAGGTGATGTAGACCCTCCGGGGTTCTGGGTGGCAGGCATTCTGCAGGTGACGGGGACCCCAGGGGTGATGCAGAACCCAGGGGTATTGCAGTCTGTGGAGGTGTTAGGAGGAGCGGGGGGTCGGGGGGGGGTCTCCAGACCTGGGCAGCCAAAGGTCAGGATTCCGGAAGTGAGGGGGCTGAGAGGTTATAGGGATCCCAGAGAAAATTACGGTTCTGGAGTTAATGCGGGTCCCGGAGGAAATGAGGATCTCTGAGCTGATGGGAGAGCTGGAGTTGATGAGAGCCCAGAGGGGACATCCTCAGGGGTGATGGTCTCTACAGTGATCTAGGGGCCAGAGGGGATGAGACCCCTGGAGCTTACGGTGGTCCCCAGAAGGGATGGGGTCCTGAGCGTCCAGAGGGTATGAAGGTACCATGAGGTTTAATGGTCCCTGAACTGATTTAGGGACTCCTGAGATGAGCTTTAAAAGCCTGGGGATTTGGGTGACCCTGAGTTGGGGGGGGGGTTGGAATATTGTGTTGCTAAGACCCAGAGGAGATGGCTGAAGTTATGAGGTAGGACGGAAAGGAATCAGAGCTCAGGGACTATGGGGACCCTGAACCCTAATGCTGTGAGTAAGGGTGTCCCTGAAGTTGGAGGGGTCCAACTTTGGGGAGGCACTGTGGTCTTATGCCCTGGGTGGGGGGATCCTTCCTATCTTTTCTTTTCTCTATTCTGTATGAAATTTGGGTCCCTCTTCCTGTCTGTGGTTGCTCCCTCCCTCCCCACTCACCCATCTACCTGCCCACTTCCCTCGCGGGGTTAACCTTGCTTCCTCTTAGTGGTTTCCTCCAACCTCAACACCCTCTTCCTTCCTCAGTGGGAGAAGCCATTAACTCCTTTTCTCCCATCACTTAAGTCCATCGACCTCAACAAGCCAATTGACAAGCGGATCTATAAGGGCACCCAGCCCACCTGCCATGACTTCAACCAGTTCACTGCTGCCACAGAGACCATCTCCCTGCTGGTGGGGTTCTCGGCCGGCCAGGTGCAGTACCTGGACCTCATCAAGAAGGACACCAGCAAGCTATTCAATGAAGAGGTGATTGTGGACCCCCAATGGCCCCTTCCCTTCTCTCCCACCCAACCCCACACATACTGTTTGCCATTGAACTGTGGCTCACTGGGGAGCAGTGTAGGCCGGAGAGGGACAGGATGAGGGAGAAAAGGGGGTGGACTGACAGCTATGTGGGATGGGTGACAGACAGCAGCCAGTGTGATAGCTAATAATGACACCAGCGCCTACTGTGCCCAGGCCCTGTGCTTTGTTAGTCATATGCTGAATACATGACTCCTGGAGTTTTCATCAACCAATGGGTTGGGGATTGAGAGGCCCATTTTACAGATTAGAGAACTGAGGCTCGTCAGTTTGGACTGGTTTTAAGTCAGAGCCGTTGGTCTTCAAATTCTGGGCCCTGTGGGCATTGGATTCAAATCCTTGCTGTACCACATGGACTCACCGTGCAGCTTTGGGAAGGTGACAGTGCCTCCCGGCACCTCCTTTTTCCTGCTCTGCAAAATGGGGTTTTCATCCCTACCTCACAGGACTGTTGTAAAATCATGCATGGAGATTGCTTAGTCCTGGGCAGACTTGGCACAAGAGGAAATGCCGGCGAGCAGCCTTATCTGTGGGTACTCGTGCCCTGTGTGTCTGTTCAGAAGCAGTGTTCCATCTGCATAGAATTGCATGAATGGCAGAAGGGAGTGCGTGGAACAGTGAATGGAATAAAAACGCACTAGCTCACCCATTCACAGAATAGTTATGGAGCATTTGTTCAGGGCCAGGCTTGTTCTCAGCACTGGGGATGGCTCATCTCGGTGAACAAAACAGAGGGCCCGCCTCTGGAGCTTTCATCTAGCGAGGCAGACAGTTACCCAGCAAGTGGAGCGTGCGGTTCGCCTGAAGGTGCTGAGAGCTGCGGAGAGAAGTCAGGCAGGGAAGGGGCGTGGCGGGTGCGTGGTGAGGTGGGTAGTGGTCAGGGAGGGCCTCGCTGGGAGGGTGACATTGAAATGAAGACGTGAAGGAGGCAAGAAGAAGGAACCAGGGAAGGACATTCTGAGTAGAGGGAGGTGGGGACAGAAGCCCCGCAGCAGGACCTGGTCGGAGCAGTTCTGAGGGGAGGGAAGTAGGTGAGCTCCCGGAAGTCGGTGGAGGGGCCGGGTCATGTAGGGGCTGGAAGGCTGTGGAAAGGCTGGGGCTTTAGAGCCTCTCTCCCCTGGGATTCAGCTGAGCCATATAACACAGAAATGCTTTGATCTGGTTGTTTTCTCAATTCTCCCAAGAATGAGAAGCAACTTAGATACGGAGAAAAGAAATTAATTCCTTCCATTCGGTGGATGCCTGAGGGCATCAGGGCTTAGTTCTCTCTGAACCCCTGGTTGAGAAAGGCTGCCCTGGGGTTCAGAGTGGGGGGCGCAGGCGCTGACTCACACTCTAATGGCAGCTCTCGGGCAACAGTGTAGGGAATGGACACGGGCAGTGGTGGCCTAGTGGCCAGTTAGGCCACTCCAGGGTTGATGGTGGCTGGGACCAGGGTGGTTGGGGTTCAGGGTGAGCAGAGGTCAGGTTCTGCATGTTATTGAAGAATTGGATGTGAGTTGGGAGGAGAAAAGGAGCAAAGATGAGCTGCAGGCAGGATGGGGTTGCCATTCACGTGTCTAGGAAGCACTTGCCAGGGACCCCCTGTGTGCACAGCTCTGCGCTGGGGCTGGAGCAGTGAGCCGCACCGCTCCTAGGGGAGCTGATGGCCTGCGGGTCAGGTTATTGCCTTGAGCCCGACATGGAAAGACGGTGGGGGCATTAGACGGAAGACAGTTCCCGGGGGGCAGGACTGTCCCCTTGCCACAAACGGGACATTGAGGCTCATGGAGCTCTGGCCGCCGCAAAAGCAGCCCGTCTGCGTTCCCATGACCGCCCTTTCCCTCGAGGGGGCTCTTCTCTGGGGGCTGGGCCACGTCTGATGGCCTCCTGGGGAGCCAGGTTGGGAAGGAGGTCTGTCAGGGTCTGATGGCCTTCTCCCAACCCCATCATCTCTCCTGGCAGCGGCTGATTGACAAGACCAAGGTGACATACCTGAAGTGGCTGCCTGAGTCGGAGAGCCTGTTTCTGGCATCGCACGCCAGCGGCCACCTGTACCTGTACAATGTCAGCCACCCGTGTGCGTCGGCACCCCCCCAGTACAGCCTGCTGAAGCAGGGGGAGGGCTTCGCCGTCTACGCTGCCAAGAGCAAGGCGCCCCGCAACCCGCTGGCCAAGTGGGCAGTGGGCGAGGGGCCCCTCAATGAGTTTGCCTTCTCGCCCGACGGCCGGCACCTGGCCTGTGTCAGCCAAGACGGCTGCCTGCGCGTCTTTCACTTTGACTCCATGCTCCTGCGGGGGCTCATGAAGAGCTACTTTGGGGGCTTACTCTGCGTGTGCTGGAGCCCCGATGGGCGCTATGTTGTGACGGGTGGTGAAGATGACCTGGTCACCGTGTGGTCCTTCACCGAGGGCCGCGTGGTGGCCCGCGGCCATGGCCACAAGTCTTGGGTCAATGCTGTGGCCTTCGACCCCTACACCACAAGGGCCGAGGAGGCGGCGGCAGCCAGTGGTGATGCGGAACGGAGTGTCGAGGAGGAGGAGGAGCCCGAGGTGGCCGGCCCGGGCTCGAATGGGGGAGACCCGCTCTCCCCAATGCCCAAGGCCGGCTCCATCACTTACCGCTTCGGCTCGGCCGGCCAGGACACGCAGTTTTGCCTGTGGGACCTCACCGAAGACGT